CAGGTTAGGAGTCATGAAAGCTAAGGGGTCAAAAGAAAACGAATTCAGAGATGCTTGCTTCTTCTAAGCCGCGCACACAAGGCCACTCAATTGATACCCCTTCAAAATGTCGAATCTATCCTCCAATAACAGGGTTCAGAAATGTCGGTTTAAGGAAGAGTTTTACCCAACAATCCTCTTGGTTGAAGGACTAGGTTGCTAACAGCCGGAGCCGTGAGACGTCAAAACAAGCTTCAACAAGGTTCAAAGCCACATCGTTCGGATCGTTTAGTTTCAAAGCCACATAACCTTTATTGCAAGGCTTAGATCATCGATATCTTCCCATCTCGCCTGTGCTTAAATACGGCTGGGCCTGCATCAATATGGCGGTCCAATACTCATACTCAGTCACAACCACCACTGAGAATCAAAACCTTTCACCCTCACCTTGTTCTGATCCCCAAACCCCTGCCACGCAGTCTTCCTTAACCTCTCTTGGCCGTATCACATCAGAATGCCGAGCCATAGAGAACGAGTGGCAGCGCTGCTGCACCGACTCGCAGCGGCACAGATTGACCTCGTCGAGTGGGAGTACCCGCTCTGGCGCCGACTGGGTGTTCCTCTTGTGACGGACGGAGTAAACAGACCCTTCTCCCCTGAAAGTGATGTTGTGTCAACTAACACGGTCCCAGAGTCTATTTTACCTAGTCCCCGACCAACAGTTGTATGATGCTTGCCAGGTTGCGGCCTCCTTGGGGTACTATCCAGAAAGTACCGAGTCCCTGCGTATCGGCTATCCGTCCGAGTACTCGGGCTTGGGTGTGCGATACAAAATTGACGGCGCAACAAGACAGAGCCTAGGCCATGACACCTTCAGGAGGCTTGTGTTCTTACCGCTGTCCTGGTCGGGGCTGGACTTATACGATCTCAAACGCATAGAGATACGGTACGCAGGCATGCCAGACCACACTTTTGCCATCTGGACAGTCCCTCTTGCGGCAGCCTGTACAGCCATGGTGCGTGTGATATGCGCTGAGAAACGATCAAGCCGTTTACGCAGAAAACTCCAGGCCTATTTGTCCAATCTTCTGGCCTACAGCTTTTTTGATACAAGCTATGAAGGGGAGTTCGAGGTACTTTTAGGGAATGGAGTGCCATTGTCAGAGTCCGAACTCTTGGAGATTGCGAATGCGGTGGCAGGAATTAAAGACCTGGGAGACGAGAGATGGTGAAGGATGGATCAGAGAGAACATCGTGAAAGCTTGTTGATTGTACCATGACTGAAGATCAATT